AACCCTCAACTGTCACACTCTGCCTAGGCTAGAGGAGAGAGCCTCTCTCTTTCCCACATACACCATCAATAAGGAGACAGGCTTCTCACTCATTTTCTTATGCAGAGGGAGCTTTCCCCCATCCTACCCAGGAGCACACAATACAAGAATCAAAGCTGCTTCAGCCAGGTAAGTCACCCTCCTACTTGCCCAGGCAAGAGAGGTTTTTGCCTTTGTGGCACATAAAGGAAGTTCACTGCCAGCGGCAGGTGAGAAATTGGGGGAAAACACGTAAATGTTTGTTTCCTAGAGTCACATCATCCACTAAGAGCCTGCCCCTGCCGCCCATGCGGCCCCAAGCCTCCCACTGGTTTCAGCTACAGTGAGGTGTAGGAACGCAGGATTGGGCCCTCAGGTGAAAGGCACCATCCCCCAGCCCACCAACACAGCATGAAAGGCACCTTCCGTCACCAAGCCCCCCAGCCCCTCTCAAACACAGGTCTGAGCCACTGATTCCACACCAGCGCAGAGCCCATGGCCTCTCTTCAGCCTGCCCTACCACAGTGCAGAAGGGCTGCAGAGGTTTTTGGCCTGGGCCCTCCACATATGGGTGAAATTCACCCAACATGAGTAACTGGCACAGAGCCCCTTGGGGGACAAGAGGATTCACAACTGGCATGGAGGAGCCATGTTACAACAGGACCCACCGACCTTCTCCAAGAAGCTCTTGGTTCTATTTTAAACTCTCCCCAAGAGACTCCCAGTCCCCACCCTGCCCAGCCCCCAGCCCACACAGGCTAAGAAACTCTCCTTCCCCAGAACTTGTCATGCCATTCTTGTAGGGCTATGTAGAAATTCCTGCACAGCACACCAGTACTGTCAGCTCCTCTGGGATTCAGAAGCCAACACTCACCCCATGAATAGCCCCCATGTAGTTCTTCTGTCAAAAGCTTAGGCCTTGCCTCTGAAATGAATGCCTGAGTAACTCTCCGCAGAGTTAGCCCCATCAACTTCAGTGACACTCCTTACACGGTTAAGTGCGTAACTGGTTCTTACCTGTCCAAAGAGGCCAGTCCACAACCATTTCTCTTCAGCACCCCCCTTTCTTGAGTACTTTAGCAACTCAGCAGTCTTCTCACTCTGGAGCAAAGGAGGGTCCAAACAGAGCAGAGCTCTTCAGAAAATGTCCGAGATCTTCCCTAGACAAAAGCCCTTCCCCGTGGTCACAGGCAGGTTAACCACAGCCTCTGCTAGAAGAAAAGGAGTACTTGTGGCACCTTAGAGACTAACTCACGAAAGCTCATGCTCAAATAAATTGGTTAGTCTCTAAGGTGCCACAAGTACTCCTTTTCTTTTTGCGAATACAGACTAACACGGCTGTTACTCTGAAGCCTCTGCTAGGTGGGTCCCCACACCACTGGCAGGAGTCTGCCTTATACTCAAGACAATCTGCTTCATTATCTCCCAAGGCCACTCTTTCTTATACCAGTCTCTGTTCAGGCCCCCCTCAACTTCTTTACAGCTGTCCTTCCAAGACTGCTCCCTAGTAACACAATCCAGATCTTAACTCATCTCTACCACCTCTTTCATTGAGAAGAGAAAGAAGGAAACAGGCTAGCTCTTATATAGCCATGCCCAGTCATGTGGGTCCCTTTTGGTCACATGATCCCTCTAGGAACCACACCCACCCTCATTGCTGGGCCTTATAGGGCTGAAAGCTCATAGTGGGGTAACCAGGCATTGGCTTTAAAGGGTTAGCACACTCTGCTATAAAATGCCTTGCTGAATAGGGCTGGACTTAAAAGTTAAGCATGTACTCAAGTGCTTTGCTGCATGGGGCCCTAAGTTATTCACATGGGTAAATGTTTGCAGGATTGGGGTCTTAGACTGTAAGCCTTTCAGGGCAGAGACCTTGTGCTATTTGTACTGTGAGGTGCATGGCTCAGTTCTGGGTGATGTGCAAAATATAATGATAATTAATAGCAGAATAAATTATATGTATTCACAATCATATCTGTCAAAATATTTTTTTACACAAATACCTTGTGTCCCAATCCAGCAAATGTTTAGGTCCAGATCCTCAAAGGTATTTAGGCTTCCAACTCCCACTGAAATCACTGGAAGTCAGGAATCTAAATACCAGGCTTTGAGGATTTGGGCCTTAAGTACAGATTTAACTTTAAGCACAGGAGTAGTACTCACATGTTTAAAATTAAACCCGTGCCTAAATGTTGGCAAGATGGATTTAGAGAATTAAAGCTGAAAGAACTTTTCATCATTTGGTCTGTTTGGTTATTGGACAATGAATATAGATTTGTCAATTTCAGTGGGGGGTTTTCAAGTCACTTTTGGGGTTTCATGAACTAGTCTAATGCTTGGGTTAAAACCCTGCCAGAGAGGTTTCAGTCCAAACAAAATGGGGATGAAAACACTTTTTCATTAACGTTTTCCCTACAAAAAAAATTAACAAATTATTTCTTTTAATATTTGTAGAAACATTTTTTTTTACCAAAGACAAATCCTGACCCTATTCTATTTGACAAGTCTCTTTAATACCAGCTTAGCCTCTACACAATTAAAAAAAAATTAAAAAACAAATATGCACATGCGCTGAGAAGGATTAATAAAGATTTCATAAGTCAATAAATGTAAGTGGAGTTGAATGAAATGAGTGTTTTAACCACTTAAACTCCAAAATTGTTCCTGCCTTCTTAGATTTTCACCCTTAACAATGGACAGCAGCAGATCGGGGAAGACATATCTCAAGGCTTGCATGCACGGGGGTGGGGGTTTACAGCAGAGTAGCTACAGCCATGCGGCTACACCAGTGCAAACCCCTCCTGTAGCTGCTCTGCACCAAGGTGAAAAGTTTCAAACAGGAATATGCCACACTGGTGGACTAGGCATTTTTACAAGTGTAGCTATGTTAGTGTAAAAACCCCTGTTGTAGACAAGCCTTTAGATCCAAGGTTAGGGAGGTTCACACGAAAGAAAAAAAAAAAACAGAGATCCTGGGGGAGTTTGCAGGTGTCAGCTATTAAGCATCATTAGGAGAGGGGAATATTTGACAATCCACATAATCAAAGGGAAAGAGAAAACCAGGTATTTCATTCTCATTTCTATGCAAAGTTAATGCCAAGTGCATTTCCCTAAACAGCACTGGACTGTGACTTAGGAGACACGGGGACTATTCCCAGCTTTGCCACCAGCCTGCTGGTTGACTTGGGGCAAGTCACGTCCCTGCTCAGTGCCTCAGTTTCCCCATGCGTAAAAAACTGGGCTAAAATACTGATTTTCAAAGCGCTTGGATAAAAGCACTAATAAGATCTAGGTATTATTATTATATTGCTTACAACAATGGGGTTGATCCTGCAAGGAGCTGTACACCCTCAACTTAGGGTTGCCAATCCTCCGGGATTGGCCAGGAGTCTCCTGGAATCAGCATTGATCTCCCAGTGATACTGAAAGCAATCCCGGAGATTTTAATAGGCGATTTTAAGAAACTGACATTACATCAGGCTGGGGCGGGGGGGGAAATCTCCCGGAAAAGCTTCAGTCAGAGTTGGCACCCCTACCTCAACTACCAATGATGTCAAAACAAAGGCAGGAATGACTCAGATAGAGTGTTTTTGCAGTAGATTTGTAACATACCTTCGACCAGACAAATACTAAGCTCCAAAAGAATGACTAGAAGGTCAGGGTCTCCTTTCCCTGCTGTATATCCAATCCCAATATGTTTTCAAACCAGAATTAAACATGTGTTCTCACTTTAAAGCAAAACCAAGCACTAAACAAAAACAAGCTCTTGCACACCTGGCTGTGAAAATTATAAAGTAAACCACGGAACAGCTTATACGGGTTATTTCCTTAATGTAGCTCACACACTACTTCTGACTAGCGTTTATGGCACATGTAACTAAGGTTTGTTCTTGTATTGTAGCAGAAATCACTTTGCTGTATGTTGGATTAGATCTGCCTGTGTTGCATTTTGAGACATTGCCCCTGGTTTTTGTACTAGCATCTTTTTGCTGTCCTGTTTCTCTCGGGGTTAGTTCATTCTCCCTCCACTCTCCCGCCTACTCCCTTTGTTTTTCCAAGTTGTGATCCAAACCCACTGGAGTCGATCGAAAGCCTCCCACTGGCTTTAATGGAAGGTCCCTAGCACAGGCCTCCTCTCTCTCTCCCTCCCCCCATTTACAAAAGGGGCCCAAGCTTACATTCCTCGCACACCCAGTGATTTGTGGGCATTAGAGGAGTGTAAGGGATGCAGGAGCAGGTCCAAGTTCTTCAGACATTGGGTCCTGATTCTCCATTCACACCACCGTAAAAGAGTGAAGAACCAGGCTCCCTGACTTTCCAGCGTTCTGTAAGGCCCAGGGCTCAGCAAGGTTCTTAAGGACATGCCTAACTTTAAGCGTATGAGAATTCCCACTGAAGTCAGTGGAACTACTTATGAACCTTGTGAACATAGGCCTAAAGCCCCATGTACATTTACTACAATGTATAAACAATAATCTTGCCAGTTTGGTGCAAGAGCCTTCTCCACTGCAGCACTTGCCCTCTAGATTAGCCTTTTGACTCTCCATCTCATCAGTTCCCCATCTATTTTGTAATCTCAGCTGAAAGCATATGCTTCCTCGTTTGCTTATCCCTCTTCATTTCTCTCTCCCTCGGCTATACTTTTATTTTAACTTTTTAGCTGTATTATGACAGGTTTCAGAGTAACAGCCGTGTTAGTCTGTATTCGCAAAAAGAAAAGGAGTACTTGTGGCTCAAATAAATTGGTTAGTCTCTAAGGTGCCACAAGTACTCCTTTTCTTTTAGCTGTATTATGTAACTGTATAATACACTGTAGGATCTAGCTTGTATGAAAGATGTGATACAAAAATAATATCTAGACTATTTTTCATTGTGCTCATCCCTAGAGGGGCTGAGCATCCCACAAGAAACATGAATGAATTTATCCTCACAACACCCTGGTGTGGTAGGGAAGTATTTAATATCCTCATTTTGCACTTGGGGAAGTGAAGCACAATAAGATTAAAGCCAAAGGTTCTAATCCTGCAAACATTTATGCACGTGCTTAATTTTGCAGCTGTGAGGGCCCCATAAAAATCAAGGGCAGTGACCATGGTATTAAAGTTAAACACGGGTTAAATGTTTAGAGGATCTGGGCAGAAGTTTTCAAGAGTGTCCTCTGTTTTGGGATGTCCAACTTAGGACCCCGGGGGCCTGATTTTCAGAAGTGCCACACCCCAAAATTCCAGTGACTGGGAGTAGCAGGAGAAATAATGAAAATCAGGCCCAATGGGTACCAAGTGAGGCACCCAAAAACGGAGGCACCCAAATCTAGAAGGAAGCCTCCTTTGAAAAGTTTGGCCCAAGGTCACATAGGAAGCATGTGTCAAAACAAAGAGTAGCACTCAGGTCTCTTCAGTCTCCGTCCTGAGCCTTAACCACAAATACCATCCTTATTACTGGAGCAGGCCCACTGAAGTTAGGGAGGCTCTTGTTTTTATCTGAGATTGATCCTGCAAGGAGGTAGCTGCAAAGATAAAAACAAGAGGCAACATAATTCAGAAACTACCAGGTACAACCTGAGGTGCATCGGCATCAGTGTTGCGAACATCTGCAAACAACAGCATTTGTATATGCGGTAACTGAATATTGCACACCAGTATGGAGCAGATGCAGCCACACGTAACTTAGAATCCTAGAATATCAGGGTTGGAAGAGACTTCAGGAGGTCATCTAGTCCAACCCCCTGCTCAAAGCAGGATCAACAGCAACTAAATCATCCCAGTCAAGGCTTTGTCAAGCCGGGCCTTAAAAACCTCTAAGGATGGAGATTCCACCACCTCCCTAGGTAACCCACTCCAGTGCTTCACCACCCTCCTAGTGAAATAGTGTTTCCTAATATCCAACCTGGACCTCCCCCACTGCAACTTGAGACCGTTGCTCCTTGTTCTGTCATCTTCCACCACTGAGAACAGCCTAGCTCCATCCTCTTTGGAACCCCCCTTCAGGTAGTTGAAGGCTGCTATCAAATCCCCCCTCACTCTTCTCTTCTGCAGACTAAATAACCCCACTTCCCTCAGCCTCTCCTCGTAAGTCATGTGCACCAGCCCCCTGATAATTTTCTTTGCCCTCTGCTGTTGACACCCAGCTGAATGCAGTGCTGCGGTGTATCACTGGAACCCTTGAGTTGACTCCAACACCGTGGCTATCTGTTCTGTCTAACACCGCTCCCCCGCCGATATGCTGAACTGCTGCGACACTCCATGAAGCTCCGTGAATCCAGGAAAACAGTTGTCTTCCTATCCACCAAGACCTCAACTATACCCCCCCCCCCAACGTCTTAAGTCCCGCAAGCCTTTCTGGGAACATTCGCTTCTTAGCCTCATGCAATCAGGCTACAATCAGACAGCGGCTTGGAAAGGAGATTGGGCTAAACAAGCCTTAAAAAATAAGCACCTTGTGGCGGATCCCACGCAGAAGGTTCCTGGATTCGACCTTCCACAGACATGTTGGTCAACTCTGAACCGAATCCCAACCGACCATGGTAGATGTGGAGATCTAATCCACAAATCAAGGACTTCCTGGCGTGTAAGGGTGGCTCCCCACGGCAGACCTTCAAAGATATCATCACCTATTGTCCAATTTATAAATACGAAGGAGGCATCACTGCAATAAACTTTGCATAATAAACCGTTTGGCTCCATCAGCTTCAGGCACAATTGTAGTCGCTGCTCTGCATCAACCATGTGAAAGAAGAAGGCGCCGTTAATGAGGCTGCTTTCATGGGAAAGGACTGCTAGAGTGAGGAGCCCAGGATCAAGCCCTAAAAAGTGCTTTGTATTGTATCCACTACGGCCAAATCCAGATAAACAGAGGGCAGTCCAGCTTCCTCGACCCATCCCACTCATTGTGAAGAAGCAAGACCGAAAACTGGAGCTGGCTGAAATTTGGCATTTGAATTCCCGCCCTCCCCCTCTCAGCCTCTGCTGAGAACTGGCTTGTTCATCAAGACGGACATGTCCACGGGAAACAGCTAGTTTCAACACCATGATTTTTGTTAAAAAAATAATAATGAAAAAAAAAAAAAACCCAGGGGAGAGAGAGGGTTCCACAATCAAAAACCAAGAAAGCTGGGGGGGAGGGAGGGAGAGGAGTTCGGCCTAACTTTTTCATCTTTTCAACAAAACCCAAACAACTTTTGAAGAAAAGTTTTGATGAAAAGTTTGTTTTCATGAAAACATTTTTCAGGAAAAAATACCCATCTGGGCAGCTTTAATGAAGGCTGCATTGTTGGAGTGGCTGTCAGCAGTTACCACTGTTGCTCCTTGTACAGGACCCCCCTTTCCTCAGCAGGGATTCTCCTCCTATTTTAGAATCATAGAATCTCAGGGCCGGAAGGGACCTCAGGAGGTCATCTAGTCCAACCCCCTGCTCAAAGCAGGACCAATCCCCAATTTTTGCCCCAGAGCCCTAAATGGCCCCCTCAAGGATTGAGCTCACAGCCTTGGGTTTAGCAGGCCGATGCTCAAACCACTGAGGTATCCCCTATGCCCTGTTTTTGCTACTTGTCTTTTACTTGGATTGTATAGACTGTTTTCAAGGGTATTATGGTTTAACTGTTTGTGCAGTGCATAAAATACTGTTAGCTGCAAATACTGTCAGTGGCAAGGCCCTGAGATGGTCTTTTATCTGTAAAATATTTTTATTATTCTATTGGTATAATCATATTTTATAAATAAATGCAAATAAGAGGTTTCCCTTTATGGTCAGAGGCATGGATGAGATGATTTCCTAGGGCCTGAACCTTGAAACTGGAGCCATGCAGGGAGCCCCATTGAAGTCATGAATGAGTGTTGCCTTAAAAGGGGGGGGGGGACACTGAGTGCCTTAAAAGGGGGGAGACACTGGAATAAATGTACACACCTGCTAAAGGCCCTAATTCTGCCACAAGCTCCATGCAGTCAACCCCCCTGTGCGCTTGATCCTGCTTTGATTGAAGTCCGTGGCAAAACTGCCACTGACTTCTACGGTGCAGGATCAGGGCCGGATTCCCTCTGAAGTCAATGGGAAATCCGTGCAGGTGCAGGGCTCCGCGGGCGCAGCGAGGGTTGCAGGATCGGGGCCGAGGTGGTTGCAGGATCGTGTCCACAGCTGGCTTTCCCGAAGCCCAGCACCCCGTGGCGAAGAGACCTGGAGGAAGGTAATTCTTTGTAACTTCTCTGTGGATGCTAACATTTCATAAAGAACGTGGGAACTGAAGCGGGGTGGGAACATCCCTTGCCCTGCCCGGTGAACTCCCCAGTCTTCTCGGGCGCTCACATGTTCAATGTTGCCGTAGGTAGGATGTGAGCCATGTGCTTTCCCTGCCTGGCCAGGTGGGGGCCGGATCACACGCCCGGGAGAGGGATTTTCCAGCTCTGGTCTCTAGGACGCTGTTAGTAATTAATTATTCAGTATTTTTATTATTGCATCGCCCCCAATTCCACCTGCTGGAAGGAGGAGGGAGGGAGAATCCCAGAAGCCACCCACCGTCTCAGGCCAGCCCCCTCTCCCCGCACATGGTGACTGCTCACCTGCCAAGGGAGGCAGCGCAGCCGCGGGGAAAGCAGCCTCCCCACCCCGAGACGGGCAGGACCAGGAGTGGGGGGGTCCCCTTGGTGCACGTCCCCGCACCCGCTGCGAGCCCCCCACCCGTCCCCTCTCCGCCCCCCGCTGCAGCCCCGCACGCCCACCCCGGCCCGGGCTGCGGGCTGCCGCGGCGGCTCCTCTCTCGTGAGAACATTCCAGGCAGCAGCCCCAAGTCTGTTAGGTATTTGAATAGCACAAAGGAACCGCCTTCCCCTGATTGGCCAGCCCGGTCTCTCCTGGGCGGGAGGCGCCTGCCCATCAGGCCGGGCCGGGCCCGGCGATAGGCTGCGGCAGCCCGGGGCGGGGCTGGGCAGGACGTATAAATAGCGGGGGCTGGGGAGACGAGCGCTCATTGCTTTGCGCTCAAGGTGCGGGCGGGCGGCCGGCGAGGGGGGCGCAGGGCGCACCGGTGATGGTGGCTCCCCTCGGGGCGCTGGCGACCCCCTGAGACAGAGACAGACCCCGACTCCCCCCTCCCCACCAGCAGCCCCCAGCCCCTTCCCGGCTCGTGTGGATGCGGGCCGGGGTGTCTGGCTGCCAGCGCGGAGCGAGCAGATGCTGGGGGGCCGGAGGAGGATGGAGTGCGCCCTGGACGCCCAGAGCCTGATCAGCCTCTCCCTGCGCAAGATCCACAGCTCCCGCACCCAGCGCGGGGGCATCAAGCTCCACAAGAACCTGCTGGTCTCCTATGTGCTCCGCAACGCCCGGCAGCTCTACCTGAGCGAGCGCTACGCCGAGCTCTGCCGCCGCCAGCAACACTACCAGGAGGGCGGCATCCTGCTCGGGGCGCCCCCGGGCTGCGCGCCCGCCGGGGGGATCCCGCCGGAGTTCAGCCCGCTCCAGCTGGCGGCCGAGCCCGAGGACCCGGAGCCGGGCATGCAGCAGCCGCGGAGCTGCGGGCTGGCCGGCGCGGCGGGGGCAGCCCTGGGGAGAGGGGGCGGCGGCGAGCTGCTGGAGGTGCCCGTGTGCGCTGCGCTCCTGCCCGGGGCGCCCCAGGAGGACGAGCCGCTGGAGCTGCAGCCCAGCCCGCCCCAGCAGCCGCAGCCGGCGGCCCCTTCGGCGCTTCGCAGAGACTCTCCCCCTGGCTTCTACCGGGGCGGCGCCGGCAACAGCGGCGCTCCTCCGGGGCTGCTCTACCCGCTGCCGGCCAGCTGTGACTTCGGCAGCCCGGCGCCTCCGGGCTCGGCCGTGAGCGCAGCGAGCGGCGGCGCCGCGGCGCACTGTAGCAGCCGCACCACGGTGCTGGACCTGGACACCCATGTGGTGACCACGGTGGAGAACGGCTACCTGCACCAGGACTGCTGCTCGCAGTGCCCGTGCTGCTGCCAGGGCGCCGCGGGACTCGGCGCCCCGCCGCCTACCCCGGGCGCCAAGCGCAAGTACTACCCGGGGCAGGAGGACGAGGAGGACGGGGACCCGGGAGGGGTGGTGGTGGGGGGGCGGCGGCTCCCCCTTCTCCCCTTGCAGCAAGCGAGCCCGCTTCGAGGACTTCAGCCCCGAGCAGCCCCCGGACTCTTCCAACATCTCCAACTTGATCTCCATCTTCGGCTCCGGCTTCACGGGGCTGGTGAGCCGGCAGCAGGCGGACTGTGAGCAGCCCCTCAACGGGCAGCTGTGCGGCAAGCAGGCGCTGGCCAGCCTGGGAGCCTGGACTCGAGCCATCGTGGCGTTTTAGGGGCGGGGATGGACGCGGGGGGAGCGATCCAAGGGACACGGACTCCGGAGGGGCCCCTGAAACAAAGAGGGGCGGGCGGCTGGGGCGGGCGGGGGAGGGGGAAGCCGAGCTCATGTTTTATAAACTGTACAATAAAAATCGCAGATCGTGGGACTTTATTTTTGCAGAGATGAAAAGCACCTATTTAACTATCCCTGTGGCCGCTCGGGCTTTATTTTGTATTGAGTGCGGGGGCGACTTCAAGCCGGGAGCACGCCACGTGAGGCCAGGGCTGCTGGCCGCAGGAAGCCGTGTGTGCCGGGGAAGAGTTTGGAAAGCTGCACTTCGCTGCCCCCGGAGGAGCTGCCTTTGCTGGGGGGGTGGGAAGAGACGCCCAAGCTTGCAGGGGCCGTTGGACTAGCGGGGGGCGGGGGGGGGGATTCTGCCTGTAGGTCTCGGGGGCTGTAAGCGGGGAGAAGGATCCTCCAGAAAAAGGGGGAGCAGAGTGTGATCGAGTGAGGTTTTTGTTTGTTTGTTGTGGCCTCGGCACTGATACCCTCACTAATTGTCCCAGGCCGGGGGAGACGGGCCCCTGGGGCATTTGCAAGGTTCATAGCTCGCGGGGCGGATTAAATCCTTCCGTCCCCCATTCAATCGACTTCATTTAGTTCCATTTTCTTCTCCCCTCCCAACACCCCCCCGCAGCAGCAGCAGCCTGGGTCAGACCCTCCAGCAGCGAGCAGCCTTCCTCTCGCTTGCTCTGGGGTTTTTCCCCTTTATTTCAACTTTCCCCTCTCGCCAGGAGACCTGTCTGCGGCGACCCTCTGCCTGCCGTGCGTGCCAGGGTCACGCAGCAGAGCCCCGTCGCTTCTCCGGGGGGAGAGAGAAGGGCGGGTTTGTCTTTTCCCCCTTCCACTCGTCCGGCTGCTCCATGGGACCTGGAGTCCCCCCGGCCACGGCTTTGTAAGCGGACACGATGGGTTTGGGGACAACATGGCACACTACATTTCCCATCATGCACTGCTCTGCAGTCCTCTCTCCCCCCCCCCCCCGGTCTGTGTTTGTGTACCTTCACCTAGGGCTATGCGATGGCCACAGGTAAACGTGTTCCCCCCACTTCTAACGTCTCTTTCAATGTGGGGTGCGGGGGGGGGGTTGTTTTAAAGTTGGACTGTTCTGGTTTCAGCCTTCCAAAGCCTAAAACCAGCATTGCTTGGTCCTTGTGACCAGAGCTGTGGCCCCTTGACTCGCCCCACCACGTTGTTGTTGTTATTATTATTTTGGAATTTTGTTTAAAAAAAAAAAAACCTTTTGTTGTAAAAAGGTGGTTTGTTTTTTTCCTTTACAGCCCTATCATCCCAACCCTCACCCTACGAGCACTATGTGACTAGAGGCGCCTTGCCAAACGGTTTCTTTTTTCTTTTTCTTTGTATCCCTGTATTTTTGTGCAGATTGAATGGTATATCACCGGGTAAAACTGTTCAGATTTGTTTAAATTTATAATCTTAATAAAAAGTCCATTATAAAGTTTGTGGTGGTCTTTTTAAGTGGGCTTAACCCTCTTCGCTCTCCCAGGACTATTCTGGGAAGGTTATGCACACTGTGGATGGAATCGCTGGAGCTCACAAGCTTGGCGATGTGAATCCTCCTACCGCAGGGCGTCCCGCTTTGGGCTGGATCTATAGATTCCCCCTAAGCTCTTTGGGGGAATCTGTAGATCCCACCCTACATTATTGGGGTGGGGGGAGATTAGCTCTAGCCTGAAGTCTTTTACTGGAAGGAGCTGACAAATCTTTAGCTTTCAGCTGAGTCGAGATGCCACTTATTCAAAGTTTCCCAGGTGGGCGATTCTCAGGTGACCCCTGGCATAGATTAACTGAGCTCAAGCATTTGCCTAAGAGGCCCTTGAACTACCCAGAGAACAGCACTTCTGCCTACGCTAGGAGACCCTCAACTCAACAACAGGGAGGTAAAAACACTGCTTTTTTTTTTTTTAATTGCCTAGGCTTATATTGTAACCAGGTCTTAACCGTTCATCTACTTCAAGACAATAGCGGGGTGGAGACAGGGATGTTCCAGCTACATAAATCCGATCTCCTCCAGGCAAGTGCCTGCTCCTTGCTTTAAACCAACTAAAACCCAGCGTGACTGGTTTGCACAAAACTACTAGCCCCAGAATACACAAATACCCTTAGCCCAGCAACGGGTCTCCGAGTCCACAAGCTGACCCATAAAAAAACCAGCCGTGGAGAGGGTCTGAAAAATGGGGGCCCAAAGCTGATTCCTGTCTCAGCCCAGGCGGAGCGCGCTCAGCTAATTCCGTCCCCAGCCCTGCCTCATCCTCCCCGGTGTGAAGTTGGGGTTTGTTTGTTTTCTAAGTTGCAGTTTGTTATCACCACGCTGTGCCACTTGGTGGTGTGTTTTATTTATTTATTTCTTAAAAAACCAAATGAATGACGGTAATCAAGGCTCCCTGACCACCTACAGGCTGACCTGAGAAGAGGAGGATTTTGAAAGCCCCTACAAAAAGCGTGCAGGTTTCGAGCAAAATCCACCGCTGGTGCCGCTGCGAGTCCAGCTCTTTTACAACAGCGTCGCCACGATTTCTCTTGTGAGCCGATGGCTGCAACGATTCGCCCTAAAAAAAAACCCCAAAGATCGCAGCGAAGTCCTGTGCTTTCCTCTCCAGAGATATTGACCAGAGGGGAGGGAGGGGCTGAAAAAAAAATCGCATTGGAAAGGCACAAACAACAGGAGAGTCCGATTAGTCAAGCAAACATTTAGTCGATTATATCGAGCTTAATCACAAGGTAGCAACGTGTGTGTGTACCCAATAACCCACATACAACATTTAAGTTAAAAATCGCCCTGTGTCAGCCTGGAATTACTAGGGGGGGCGCCTTTCACTGGGTGTTTTAACTGTTCTCCCCCCCACCAACTTTCTGGCTCCGCGGGCAGGAGTCTCCTGTTCTGCAGGGGAAGGGTTTCTTTCTTTTCTTGCTTTCTCTTCGAAGTCTCCGAAATCTTTTTTGTGTTATTATTATTATTGTGATTTTATTCCATTAAAAACCTACCCCGGCTCTCTGGCGAAGCCAGTTGTCAGAGCTCCCCCTAGCGCCAGTTTTTGAGCACTGCAGCCCTCCCGCTGCTTTGAGGGAATGGGAACAGACGCTCCGACCTGCCCCTCTGGCAGAGGCGAGCTTTGGGGAGCGGGCGCCCGGATCGCGGTGGGGCCCGAGGGCCGGGCCCCAGCGAGGATGGCCAAGGGGGTGGGGGAGGAGCAGCACCGTGAGCCTTTGTTAGAAGCGCAAAAACTGGCCCCTCTCCCCTTGCAGAGCTAAACAAACCGACCCAGCGCCCTTCCTTCCAGCTCCCAGCTTTCGCCCCCCTGCCCCGTTCACTTTGCGCCGCGGAGCGCCCGGCGGCTGGCGAGCGGAGAGCAGCGGGCTTCAGAGCAGAGCTCAGCCCTGGTGCCAGGGCTTGAACAGGCGCTTGCTGTGTCTCCCCGCCTCCCTCCCCCCTGCCTGCAACACCACAAACCGCTCCGGGGGAAAGCGAGAGAGAGATCAGCGTGGGACTGAAGTTCCTCGCTCAGCTTTAATGAGGATGGATGTGGGGCGAGGGGCGCCGCGCACCCGCCTCTCGATGGTGCCCCTTTAAAGGGCACACGGCCTTCTTTAGAAGTCGGCTCTTTGCTGGCAGCCTCGGCCCCCCACACACACATTTGGGGGGCGGTGAGAGACGCTGCTGGTCATGGGTGCACCTGGCTCCCATGCCCCTGACAGCCCATTGGCCAGCAGCAGCTCTAGGGTGGTTGGGAGAATCTTACAGGTCCTGGGTTTGGGCTGCCCAGGCCGCATCTGGCCTCCTGAAGGGTCTGCCTCCTATTTAATTACCATAGGGACCCAGCAGCACCCCTACTGAGTTGCCTCACTTGGTGCAACATCTCCTTCCTCCCAAGAGTGGCACCAGTGAGGTGCCACCAGAGAGGCTCTGGGCTGTTCCATCCTTGAAGAAGGTGAATGGGGGCAAAGGCTTTCCGAAAACCAAGACCCAGCCCTGGAGAGCCATCTACGATGGGCTTTCCATCTAGCACATAAGAACAGCTATAATGGCTCCACCTAGCCCAGTGTCCTGTCTTCCACCTGTGGCCAATGCCACATGCTTCAGAGGGAATGAATAGAACAGGCAATTATGGAGGGATCCATTCCTGTCATCCAGCATCTGGCTGTCAGAGGCTTAGGGACACCCAGAGCATGGGGTTGCGTCCCTGACCATCTTAGCTAATAGTCACTCCTGGCTAATAGTATCCTCCAGAACTACAAAAAGTACATCCCACCCCCTCTAACCTGGATCCTGGAATGGTAGCTTGGCTCCACTTAAAACAAATGCATCTTCTTCCAATGGGAGGAAATCTGACACTTCTCTTTCCACTTAGGTTTTGTGTCTGGGCAAAGCATTGAGGTCACAGGTGCTTTGGCCCATTGGGAAGGGTTCGGAGCTGGTACTTACACCTTTTCGGGCCATGCTTTGTGAAGTTGGGCTCTTGCTCAGGAGCAATTACTTGGCTAACTCATTCCACCTCTCCTGGGATCTCTGAGTCTCTCTGGGTCATCTCTCGGTGACTTCTCCCCCACGCACCTTGTGAGAGAGAGAGAGGCTTGTTGGCGATGTGTGTGAAATCCCAAGACAAACCTTTCTAAACCAAACATCCGCCTTCCCCTGGGGAAATGAGACAAGTCCTGCCCCCTCCAGGGTGGAAGCTGGGGTGGTGGGTGCCCACTTGGTACATCTCTACCATGTCCCGAGGCATACTTAATGTTCACAAGATGCTGGGGCATCCCCTGAGGGAGAGCACTATAGAAGTACTGTCCCCATTTACACTGGAGGGAAAATTTAGTTCAGCATCTGACCCCCTTAGCTCTTTGGAAGGTCTGGTCTTCAGTGATTTGCCCAAGGACTGTTGGAGGTACAGGGGGAATAGATCCCACGTCTCTTGAGCCTCTCGCAGAGCTGTGACGGAGGCAAGGGACTATTTCCACCTGGTATCGCTAGTGTGATGTTACTAATCCCACAGCTGGGGGGGGAGGAAGGAGGCCTATGTTGCAGCATCTTTCACCTATGGTTGCACTGCAGGCCATGAGGCTATTGAGATGGGCAGCCATTCGTCACTCCTTTCGTATTTTCTTCTGATCTGCTGACCCCCACCCCCAAAAGAAACTGCAAGGGAACATTTTTGCTCTGGGACACAATTCTCTTGGGGCAAATGGCACCTCCCCTGGCTAGTGTGTCACAGGGCACAGAAGGTCCATGGGGGAGTGCAGTGTATGTCAGGGGAGGGGTAGCTGTGTTACATCACCCTGGAAGGAGACCATGGCGGGATTCAGATCTCAGGAGCTACGGAGGTGTAAACCCACCTGCCCATCCATCGGCTTTGGGGGTCACTGCTAATGCAGCTTTTCTTGCTCTCTGCCCATTAGTAATCAGAGACCAGGGGTCCCTAAGCAAATGGCATTACCCTTCTTCACTTTTGGCAAAACCCATGACTTAGTCAGTGTTCCCGGAGAGCTGGGAGCGAGTGGCTGGAGAATCTCTCCACTTTCCCATTTTCCCATAACCAAGGGAGGGAACTGACCCCATTTGCTAGAGAGACCAAGTGCTACCTGCTGAAAAGCTCTGTGCTGACGTGGTTTGACACAGCAGCCAACTGGTATCCGTGGGAATGCAGCAGAGCTGAGACCTGGAGCTTTTCAGACCTATTCGAGGGCCCCCCCGGTGTCAGTCATCTCTGCGGGGGATGGCTTAGCAGCATCCACAGAAGTGGTGGCTCCCCAGAGTCCGTCAAATCACCCCAACCCTCTGTTCAGTTTGGTGGCAGAGTTGTAACATGAAGCCCGCCACACATCACTGCCCAGCGGTGGTGCAAATGGTTTCTCTTGCTTTCTAACGGACCCTGCTCCAGCCTCCCCAGTTAGTGTGAGAGTTCGTCATCCTGGAAGGGTGGGAGCTGCCTCCTTGCCGTGTTGGAGTGTGACGAAGCAGGACTGTTCTTAATGTTTCCTCTGAATATTGTGGGGGTGCCTCAGTTTCCCCTGTGCAGTTCTTAAGTATCTAGGGGGTGGGGTAAGGGTGTGTGATCATTGCAGAGCCCTAGAGGGCAGGTGTGTGCAGGGGTCTGGACACAGAGAATGGCCAACACCCTGTTTCCTGGCAACTGATGGCCTGGGCCCTTCCCCCCTGCAAGGGCTAAAGTGTTGGAGAACAAAGGAATCAAGTGACCTCCTGGCCCAGGAAAGGGACAAAGTCCAGAGGAGGAGGGGCTGGAGAGACTTTCAGTTTGGGGCTGGCTGGGGACATGGAGTGAAGTGCCAGACGTGGTTGTCTGGCTCACTGCCCCCCAAAATGGACCCAGCTGAGGGGTCCTGTTCTCTGAACCTACAAGCTCTGTTTTAGACCATGTTCCTGTCATCTAATAAACCTTCTGTTTTACTGGCTGGCTGAGAGTCATGTCTGACTGCAGAGTTGGGGGG